TTTAGGGTTTAGAGTCTCAGGGTTTAGGGTTTAGAGTCTCAGGGTTTAGGGTTTAGAGTCTCAGGGTTTAGGGTTTAGAGTCTCAGCGTTTAGGGTTTAGGGTTTAGAGTCTCAGGGTTTAGGCTTTAGAGTCTCCGGGTTTAGGGTTTAGGGTATCAACAAAAACCAACCAAGTTGCAGTCATGCCCGAATGTGCACAGTGGTTGGTCTGCACGTTGTGACACTATGCCGCTCTATTTCGTAGCAGACGAAACATGATCCGCTGCCTAGGGCTTCAGGATTGAAGACATACAGATTCCCCAAACCCTAAAACCTAAACCCTAAACCCCTAAACCCTCAACCCTAAACCCTAAAAACCCTAAAAACCCAGAACACCCTAAACCCTAAACCGTATTGACCCCTTCAGGTCGATAGGGCTTAGGGCGTACGGTGTAAATCACAGACCATTGCCTTCAAACGTTGACTCGTTGAGGCCTTGGGGTAGAAATCTAGCTAGCTCTGCCGTCACATACCTTCCCAATCCAGCGGCCTCAAAAACGACTTCTGCCTGCAGAGAAATCTACTCCAAGAAGAATAACCTAAAACCATATTGAAATCATGAAGGCTACGGCACCAAAACAACCCCACAGACCCCTAGAGCCTTACAGCAATCATGTCCCCCCTGCGTTACCCCTAAGCCCTGTGTCGTCAAAGGCTTTCCCAAGCTCAGGTGGCCACCCACAGGCCATCGCTTGCCAACATCACACTCGGTAGTCGGCAAGATTGCCATTGACCTGCTGGAGGGGATGTATGGCTGGGGCCCTAATAGCCAGAATATGCTTCTGGGCTATGTAAAATAAAGTACATATAAACTGGGCTATTCGGTTGTGAAGACCCCTACACGCCGGAGGCGAAGCACCAACTCGAACCCGCACCCCAGCACCCTAGTTTCAATCCCTGAGCCCTCCAACCAAAGCAACATCCTAAACCCAAAATCCGGAAGAAAACAACCTCAAAGCGTGCCGTAAATCCCCCGAGCCGCCCTGAAACCCTCACACCTCATGCTCCCTCGAGGCAACACTCCAGGTGTGCACTCACCAGCATCTCTAAGGAGCCGTATATGCACTCAGATAAATCCCTGTTAATCTAAACTCTGCTTGTACTATTTTCACAGGGTTCTAAGTTTTCCAGTCCCTGCGCCAACAACTTCGGAACCAAACAAGCCAACCGAAGATCTTGAAGCCTGTAAGCACCTAGACAAACCCAATACTCTAAACCATAAACCATAAACTGTAAGCACTTACTTTGCACTGAAGGCAAAAAAAAACGCTAAGCCCAAAATCGTGAACCAGCGCCAATCCCTTCGCTGCTCCTGCCTGTCATGTTCGAAATCTCTGGCTCAGCACTGACTCCGTACCTGTTGTGTAAGGGTTTCGATAAGCTTTCTTGCTGTAGGGACGATGTGGCTTTACAAGAGCTTGATGAGGGGCTTTGGGGTTGTGCTGGTTTTGATTTGGGGTTCAAGGCGGCTTAATATAGGGGCCTTAACAATTAGAACAGGGCGTTGGGGTATAGTTAGTATACTATAATTATCATAAGGAACCCTAAGAACAATATTGGTAATTATTTAGGCTTCTACATTAGGGCTTCGTGTTTAGGTGGCCAGGGGTTGGGTGTTCCATACAAGCAGGGCCATCCGTCATAAGCTTCATGCGTAATCTAGGGGCCTTAATAATTAGAATAGGGTTTTGGGGCCATTATACTATAAACTATAATAGTGAGAATAGGGTGTTGGGGCCATTATACTATAAACTATACTAAGGAACCCCCCCAACCAAAATAGCATAGGTAGTTTTATTTCGGCCCCTACAATATTCGGCGTTGCGGCTTTGCAGCGTCTCTCCTTAAAGGATCATGGGACTTAGTAAGCAGGGTTATAAGTCCCTGAATTGGGGTT